TATCTACTAAATTTACATGCCAATTGTAATATCCATTTTCATGGATTTTCAAAATGTCCTTAGTTCGTGGGTTTTTGAATTCGGTGATATTATTAGAGCATTTTAGTTTAAAATGGAAATTTTACATTTCGTTGAGAATTTGAATTCGTGGTTGAACCAATCGCGAAAACCACGAAAATAAGTATCCCAGGAACAAAAGTACTTTCACAGTATCCAAATAAACTGTAAATAGTTTCCTTTTGTTCTTCAGTGACAAGAAGTACTATTTTCTCCATTTTGCCAAGTGTTTACTTTATATCTAATTTACACGACTTGAACTTTTATCAAGCTAGAGCAATAAAACAACAATATTTTTTCCCTCCAAATCTTAGCACCAAATATCTTGGATATCATATTCCCAGTGTTTTACACGCTTTATATTATAATAAGGAACGTCCAGGAGAGATCTTATTCATATTTTATGTTTTACACTGAAAGATTCTACATATCGGATAAAAACTGACATGATGAAATGTTTAAACATATCTAATATACTTTTGTAAGACATTGCGTCTGTAATACTTTGAAAATTATGTCCAGTACTCCTTTAGATTCCCCTTTCAATTTGTGAGGATATCATGCAGGGCAGTGCATGTTTAGTAAGGCTTTATTATATATTTGTTTAATTTTTTCTACCCCACCCCCTATAATTCAATATTTAAAAAAAAACCATTGCTATAATGTACTTGTAAAATTATTATATCCATAATAAGATTCCTAGAATTTGTAGATAAAAAGATAAATAAAACAATCCCCTGCCATGGTCCGAAATTTTCTTAGACTGGGTCAAATTACTCAACTGTTTACATATAGATCATGCAGATAATCTTCTAGATGTATAATATTATATTGAATCAGTTACTTTTAGTATTATTCACTTGCTATTTAAAATGGGAAAAGAAACAAAACGACCTCCTTCCTTCAAAATTTTTGTTCCTGGAGATGAAAGTAAAAAGCAATTAATAATTTCAAAATTAAAAAATGTTCGGACTATACTTGTGCAGCAACTGAATCACCCTGTAAATAATGCTAACATCTTAGAGAAGGTCTTAGACAATTTTCTTTTTAACCACAATGGACAGTCCTCAAAGTCTGATATGACAACATTAGATTTGAAAACCTACATTCAGGTGCAGAAAAAAGATGTTGATCAAAAATTATTCCTAACAGCTGAAACATTACTCCTGAAAATCATCAAAGTAGTAGAAAACCACTCTTTCGTTTGCAATGGACATTTCAGTAGGAAGAAGTTGACACCAAAAGGACATGTAGCTGCAGTGCGTTTTAATTGTGGCAAAGATAAACACCATTCTATTTTATGGTCATGTCTTTGAAACACATGTAGTGCTGGTTTTTTTTTTGTTGATATGTCCAATTTTAGCAGCATCAGCAAATCTGTTGTAGTGCACTGGTAACATTCCGCTACAAGTATATCCATGAAACGTCCTCAAGTTTGCACGGTAAATAAGGAGACGATGACCATAAAATTGAATGTTGTTTATCTTTAGAGGGAAAAAATATTGTTGTTTTATTTCTACAGTTTGATAAAAGGTCAAGTCGTGTAAATTAGATATAAAATACACACTTGGCAAAATAGAGACAGTTTATTTGGATATATCAATTGGGATGTAAATTTAGTAGATAGTGACAATGAAATTGCAGAATTTACAACTATGTCCACACAAACTAGTGACATTGTACATGAGGAGATAGAAGATGGAATTGAAGAAAACCAATTCCTCATAGAACAAGACCAAGAATGTGAAGAATGTCCCTTTTGTTTTTGCAAATCTTGCATTACTAATGAAAAAAACGGACAAATGTGGTGGGAAACTGAACCTCAAGGGAAACATCAAAGAAATCATAGTTTACTACGAAAAAAAAGTACAAATATTTCTGGACAATCATGTTTCACCGTGAAGCTTGAAAGGATGACAGATATTTAATGTGAAAACAAGCTGCTCTTGAAAGAGACCCTAAATTCAAAAATTATACATGGCATAAAAAGAGATATTATGCCTAATTGTGTCCTAAAACTAGTAGAACGGTGGCATCCCAATCCTGAAAATATTACTTAGTTGGGCCACCTCTGGGAATAGAAACATAAATTTATTATAAGTGACATTTGTTTGGGATATAACATATTTTTAAAACAATAGTTGGCACTACAGTTTAAAAGACTAACTATATTTTGAAGCTTTGAAAGGATTATATAATTGATTGATCCCCTGCAGTATGTAAGTACATTTTTAATTCACAAATGCATGCTTTAGATTATAGATAATAAAGCTACATGTAGCATGCTACTTCCGTTGTAAACATAAACAGAAAGTTGTTGTCATGGATATCTCCTCCTATTTGTTAATCACAGCAATTTGAATTTGATAAATAGCTGTGCTTAAGGATTTTAATTTAAAATATCTTTATTGTATGTTATATCATTTTCTCACGTTTTTGCCCAAACTGACCATTATTTATGTTCTGACAACTGTACAAGTTTAATAGCAAAGAAGATAACAATTTTAGAATTAATTTTGAACTTCTTAACCCTGCTCAATATTTGAAAAAATCCATGTTTTCATGAATTGTCTCCATTTTATACCCTAGCCCCGGACTTTAAGACTTTTTTTAAATTAGTTTCAGTTTTGCCAACATAATTACAGCTTGCAAGTCCACAAGAAAAAATATAAATACTAGTTTCCGTTTTACAGTTATATGTTGCATAGATGTTGTATCGCTGCTTAGTTACTGTACTGGTGAAAGAGTTTTCAGCGTTGGCGACTTTACAGCACTTACAATTGCTTCCTCTACATTGTTTGTAACTGTTTTTTTAGATGTAAGGATTACGATAAAAGCAATCTGAATAATACATTTGAAATCCATTACTGTACATAATTTGATTTTATAAGATATATCTGTTCTGGAAATACAATAAATGATATAGGCTTATCCTTTAGTGCATCTTCTGAAGACATTTCATGCATTAATTGATTAGGAAAATACCTTTTAAAATACATCAACCAATTATTATATATTAAGGGAATATATAAGCAGCTTTCATTCTAAATTATTTATCATGTCAATGTGATGCAGATAATCAATTCGAGACAATACAATGTGAGGCCAAAAAACGCAAGATTAGCCAACCAACACGAGATCTGTAATACTAAGGTCTTTATTCAACAGAGAGTAACATGTAAGATGTTGCTACTATTCTGTTTTATTATTCCGTACGTTCTGACTTTTCATGTAAGATGATGCTACTATTCTGTTTGATTATTCCGTACGTTCTTACTTTTCATGGATACCGAAAATCCCAGGTTCTTTGTCATTATGGAAACAATATATACAGAAATGTGTCAGTTCAGAGTATAGTACACTGTGCTGTGATTTGTAATGCTGATTTCGGTCTCTGTAGCAGATTTATATATAGGGGCAAGCAGTGCATGTTACACACGGACAATCCATCGGTATTGTCGACAGTTATGTTCACTACAGACGACTTGAGTTTGTTCTTCACCAAACATAAAGGTTTGCTCATTTTTGTTCATGTTCGCAATATTCGTTTGTCTCAAAAACATTATTGATATTGGCCTGAGATTAATTTTGTTTTCTCTTTATTCTTGAATAATTTTAATCCTTTTGTACCAAAAAAATATATATCGCCATTAACTGTAATGAATTATCACGTATGTTGGTATTTAATCTTAAAATAGATTCATATGTGTACAGACTTCACGTAAATTCAGTGAAAAACGACCTTAAATATAAAAAAAAATTCTTTTCAAAAAAAGTCAAAATTAGAGTAACGCTGTATATGTAGACATAATCGGATCGTAGCGACTACTCTCGCATCTGAAATTCTATACAAGTAAACCATATGTTATTTTAACATTGAGATTAAATCATATTAGAAGAAAAATAATTCTCAAAAAAAAACGTCGTCACTCCGTCCTCTATACGGGGCACATAACATTTTAGCAAAAAATATAAATTACTAGTTGACATTTTAGCGCCGACCTTTATAGCCCATTTTAGCAGTGTATTAATCCATACATCTGTATTTTCTTAAGCACATTTTGGCGCCAAATTTCCCGAGAATATACTGAAATACTTACTTTAGTTTACATATATTTAAAAACAAAAAATGTCGTCTCGCCCGTTAGTGTTGTACGTAGTATATAGATATAAGAAGATGTGGTATGAGTGCCAATGAGACAACTCTCCATCCAAGTCAAAATTTATAAAAGTAAACATATATTTTTAAAAAATCTCGTCTAGCAACTGTGACAAAATAGTATGTTCGGTAAACATGATTTAAAATTTAAAGCTTGTCATAATTGAATTGAAATTATAATGCATATATTCAGGGTTTTGAAACAGATGACAACCAGTTAGATGAATGGTGTTATTCCTGTTATTGTAGAAGATATTCAGACTTTCGAACTGTATTTTAATGACATATGACGTATTGTTTTGACATTAAATTCATTATTTAACAATTTTATGTTATATATACGTAAAAATGGATAAAGTACCTTTCGTCAAAATGGGCATTAATAATGAAAGTGTTGCTGAAATGGGTTCAAAATTTTGTGATAAAAAAATGGCTTAGACGTGGCGCTAAAATTTCCCATATTTTTCACACAAATATGCTATCAATTCGTAAAATGTCTTCCGACGTATTAATGTGATCTAGAAGTATTTTGTCATCAAATATTGACAAAGATTTTTCTGGTCGAAATTTTTTACGACCACATTTTGTTTTTAAGCTTCTTTTTTTATTGTTATTTTTTTGGCGTTTTGGCGATTTACGTTTTAGATTTATTGGTTGTACATTTGGACTCGTATATAATTAGTTGATGGGATGGATCACGAAGGTAATAGGATATGTCTTCCTTGTAACTAAAATTGGTACACTATTAAATTATTACAGATTTGGAGATATTTATTTTGTATTATAATGCAGGAACCATAATGTAACGTTTGAAAGTTTCAAAATTTACACAGAAAGAGATTTGTTTAGTTGTAATATAGTTACACTTAATGGAAGACATTATGACATGATTTGGTGGCCGTTAAGATGATTTTGTTTAACAGATGACCACGATTTGGTACAGTCCTGTCTTTTTTCGTTTCTTACTATCAACTAATGCTACTTATTATCGGGTATTCAATGAGCAACACGACAGGTGCCACCAGTGTATCAAGAACTATTTAGTATTCCATCTTGAGCACCTGAGTTCAACAGTCATTTTCCTGGTTGGATCATATTACTAACCCTACTTTTTGTTTACTGTTTTTGGACGGTTATTTTTTTCGAATACTGATTTGATCCCTTCTATTAAATTGTTCTCTTTAGACGTTTTTTTTTTCTCTTTGTCTACTATGTTCTAATAATGAAATTACCCAATGACTGTTATGCCGAAGAAAAGAGCTTAAAAAAGACACCCTTTCTAATTCCACAAGAAAACCAAAGTGGCAAGACCCCGAGCCATTACTTTACTTATGTTATCATCTAATGAAAAATAAGAAAAGGCAATATAATTGCCAGTTATGCAAACTGTCCACAAAAATTGAAAAAAGGACAAAACGTTCGAATAAACAAACATTCAGCTGTGCCGAAAACGGACAACTACGATGAATGTACAGTTTATTGTTAACCAACAATGATCTTTTTAAATAAAAAAAAATCTTTTAAGTAGAAATTTCACAAAATATTTTTTCAGCATGTGACCTTCGTGGATATGATTATGATGTATCTTCCAGTACTTGTTTAAAATTCAATCACATACAGCTAAATTGGTATGATGCAAGACAAAAATGTATTGATGAAGGCGGAGATCTTATAACAGTAGAGACAGATGAAAAATTGACTTTCCTCAAAAGTAGTTTGAATAATTGTAAGTTGTTCTTTTACCAAAACCACACACTCTTCAGTAAACTAGTTAAAAAAATTGCACATATAGGAAAATATACGAGCTTTGAAAACAAGAAGAAATCGAAGATAGTTTTGTAACAAAAACAAATAATATATATACATATTTATATATTATTTTTTAACATTCCAAGTTGTTGTCTTTGTTTACAAGTATAATAAGAATGAACATTGTTATGATGGTAATCTCAAGCACCTAGACAAAGTGACGACTATGTTGATTCATATCAGATTTAAGATATAAGAAGATGGACATCGTTTTCTGTATATTTTCTTGTATAAATCAAATGATTAAAGGTTCATTTTGTGTTATGAAATATCTCAGATGTAAGTTCGTTTTCTACTATTATATGTAATTATTACTTGCATAGTGTTTCTGTCAAATCTATGAATTTAACATGATGGAAAGTCTTATCCTTTTAAACGTTTAGTACCCAAAATACTAAATTGATTTATCTAAATTCAGGTTCCACATCGCAGTTTTATTGGATCGGCCTTATCAATGGTACGTGGACGTCAGGAGAGTCATTTCAGTACATCTATGGAGTAGAACCTTCCGATATCCGTATTGCAGCGCGTTTTCCCGACAGATGGTGTGGCCGCCTTAGGTTCGCACCAGGGACTGATAATCTGATGTATGATGGAAACTGTTTTTTCTTGAGAGAATTTGTGTGCGAGCTTAACATTTCCATTTGACTCTTTATACATAAGAAAATATTTAGATAAATATTTCATTTTTGCCTAAATAAATACGTCATTCGTTTTCAAATTATCTTCTACATAACATATTGTTTGTACTGCTTTGATGACAAAATAATGAGTATCTAACTGAGATGTTATATTTCATACAGACAATGCTAGTGCAATAAATACAACTCATTAAAGTTACATTCAATCGAATAAGCAATGGATTTTGATTGCTGAAAAATATATTGTTAATAATTGGAGAAGAGGTTTCCTGGAGCAATTTATACACCAAGCAATATAACGATGTTTGCAAGAACACTAATCAACTTATGCATCTAATAGAGGGGTGGAAGATCCAATTCTTTATCTGTGGTTGAAATTCCAAAGGAACTTACATTAGACGTATGATTTTTTTCGGTTTCGTGCGTGTTGCGAATTTACCATACTTCATTCCATTATCTCGCAGTTGATGCACTGTGATAAACAAACAAATCGATATTGTTTGGGTTTTTGTCTGCAAAAGCAACAATATACTTGTCAAAATGCTATCTATATACATGAAACGTTTGATTTAATCAAAATGAATTTGATATATAATTACAATGTTTTATTAATTTTTCGTTAAAATTCAATCTTCTTTTGTATAACGGATTTTTCATGACATTAAATAACTTTCAATTATATTGTGACTGTTTACGGTAGTTGTGTATTAGAACAATGTTATAAGATACAAAGTCAGTGATAACTTTAATGATTCTTCCTATGTGTAATGAAATATAAGTTGAAATTGTTCCATAAATCACATAGTAAATATCGGGTCAAATCAGGGTGATGCAAGGCTCTGGAAAGAGGCACGAAATTTCATCATGGATTATGTTTTTGTTCTGTCTTTAACACACAGTAAAATGGATTGATTTTATTTAAGTATTTATTTATATTTGTCAGTGTAAACTTTAAATTTGTTCTTGTGTCATGTTTATAATCTTTGGTTTTTGGACTGCCATGCACGCTCTGGGAATGAATGACTGCCTTTTTGACAGCTCAAAAAAATTATGAAAAAAATTGAAAAAAGTCGTTAAGTAGCATCCTTTATGTATAACTATATGATAAAACTTTTAGTCCAGAACGTGCGACTTGGCCAATAAAGAGGGACACATAGGTTATAGGTCAATAAAGAAAATAGAAAAAGAGTTGTTTCAGAGAGCAATGTATATACATGTAGTAAACAAATATTCATCAGCTGAAACAAAATTCATTAACTGCCCTGTCCTATCTATTTCTACATGGAAAAAATGTAAAAGTCACAAACATCCAGAATATTTCATAACACAGGACTGTCTTTCAACAAAACAAACCGCTGCTCTAAACGAAAACATTTGGAATGAAAAAGAGTGGAAGGGTTGGACAAGGAGATCTGTGAACCTAACCATACATAACAATGACGGTGTCAAACCTGGTTCAAAACTAAGTTAAGCGATTTCAGAGTGTTCTCAAGAAGTAAATGAACAAGACATATAAGTAATAGATATTGAAATAGAGGAGACGAATTCGCTTCTCTAACAGCTTTTGTCGGTTTATCTTACCACTGTTAGAAAACCCAATCAATCAATAAGAAAGCATAAATAAGCAGGAGAGAAATACCATACATTGAAAACGCTAAATCGAATCTCACATAGCATTGGAGAATAAAGTACTGGAGAAACATCTACATGCCAGACACTTTTGGACAAGGCAAAAACAGGTAAGTAGAAGACCTTAGGTGGGTTTATCCTCTCACATTACTACAATACCACAAAAGTCTGCACTATAGCATAAAAGTATATCCTGTTAGTATAAATAAAAAAAATAAGAAGATGTGGTATAATTGACAACAAGACAACTCTCCACCAGAGACCAAATGACATAGAGGTTAATAACTATTGGTAACCGTACGACCTTCAACAATGAGCAAAACCCCATACCGCATAGTCATCTATATATAGTTATATTTTATTAAATAGTATATAGTACGAATGCATATATCCGAATAAACATATAATACAAACATATGATTATGTCCATATAGATATTTACCCAACATATGAAAACCACTCATGTCTACCATCAGAAGAAGTACTCGTCTTACCAGCAATCGGAAAAGTAGTTCAGTAAACACATGATAAGAAAGAGAAAGAAAATTTGAAGAACCCTGCAGATATGCAGCAGAGGACAGGTATTTAATTCGCATGTGCACTTTGTATAAAAAAACCAACTACACATACTGCAAACACCTGAGCACTGTCAAACAAGTAGTATATATACGGTTAAAGTGGTGAGGTGTTATAACTGCAACAAATTTGGACACATAGTAAGCGCTGCCTAAATTTAGCAACTTGCTCAAACTGTGGGGAAAAAATTGCAAGACAAGAGAGTGCAAAAACACCCCGTGTTGCGTAAACTGTGGTTACATACACAAAGCAGCATCAACAAAATGTGAAACATATCTGGAAAAAATTAACAAATGGAGACTTTAGAGCATACTCAATACACAGAATGAAGCTCCTCTTCCTAAATGGGCAGGCCATTAGTACGGTCTACCAACAACTTGTGCATATTGTAAATAGTCATGATATAGATATTGTTTGTGTAAATGAAAATAAATAAGAGATTAAAAAACTTACATAATTAGATAGCTATTTGCATCAACACTAAAAAAAAACTAACTTCACAGTTAGCCACTAGATGCACAGACTTTGAAGACACCAACTATGAAAGTTTAGCGGCTACAGTACACACAAATAACGTTGTATTCAATTTGCCAGTACCGTACATTCCACCAGAAGAAAGAAAACAATTTGAAGAAATAACATTAATTGGTATCTTTCGCCTCTCTTTAACGAGTTCAAAAGGTGCAACAAGTCATCAAACATGAATTGGTTAAAATGGGAGACCTTAAAGGCAGGGGAAATAATTGAAAAATTCAGGGCCAAAACAGGCATGTTGTGTATAAATGATGGTCAGCCTACAAGACGGAATACAAAAAGTGTTATTGATCTAATACTTATAACACCCAGCACACAAAATAATGTACAAAACTGCTCACCATTAGTCCATGAAAACATACGATCTGACCATATATGCATATTAGCAGAAATTGACGTTTGCGAAGCGGAACACAACAACAAACCGGCAAGTAAACACAGTAGACTTGAATAAATGGAAAGAACAAATTAAAAAGCATATGGTAGAATGGCTACTTAACAATCAAAGCAGTGACAATGTGGACGAAATATATTAATCTCTTGAAGACAAAACAATGCAGGAAGTTATTTGCCAGAGATAGACGAAAGATAAAAATTCAAACAAACGTGCATGGTGGAATTATGATGTAAGTTAAGCAAAAAAAAAATTTAAACCATAAACAAATGCATTATAGAAAGATTAACATCCCACAAAACAAAGAATCCCTTGTTACAACAGAAGTCAAGTTTGAAAAAGAAAAAGATGAAACTATGAATGATTGGAGTGAACGCTCAGTAGACATGTTTAAACATCCAGGATTTCAAAAGAGGTATGGACTTATTAGTTATTGAGCAAAAATAAAGATTACAACACCTTTCTACTGTAAAAAGATGGAGATTAATCATCAGCCTTTTCAAATCAAGAAAAAAAACTGCAAAAAACGTTTTGAAGGAAAACACATAAAGCTCATAGAAGAAAAACAAGAAAGATTCAGGAGTAAAAAACACTTAACTTCAAACTGCCTGCTCAGATTTATCAAAAACACAATAGAAAAATTCAATAAAGGAAAAATCACCCTTGCATGCCTTATAGACCTAGAATAAGCATATGATTCAATCTGAAGAGAGGGACTATTAGTGAAACTATATCGCTTCGATACAAGAGGAAAAGAATGGGCCTTCGGCTGTTGTCTGCTCTTTGGTCGGGTTGTTGTCTCTTTGACATATTCCCCATTTCCATTCTCAATTTTATCTGCATTAAAGATTTATCAAATAACAGAATGGCAAGGTGCATCTTTGAAAACTATGTTGGTGAAGAATTTGAGATAAGGAAAGGGCTGCCACAAGAATCAGTCCTCGCTCCTACAGTTGAAAATTCAAAACGGAAAGTCCCTTATCAAATGGCAAAACTAAAAGTTCAAACACATCAAACGAATGGAAAATAACTGTCATATTCCTGACTTGGTACAGGTATTTCCTTATGTAGAAAATGGTGGATTAAACCTGGTTTTATAGCTAGCTAAACCTCTCACTTGTATGACAATCGCAATGTGTGAACAAAACAATCAGACATAATAGGTAAAAATGTCAAAAATAGGGGTACAGCAGTCAGTATTGTGTTATAATCTTAATCACTATAAAAACAAACAAATATGTCAACAAAGAAATACAAAATGGCATATAAGCAAAGTACATAAGCAAAAATGAAAGACAAAAATGCACAAAATGACGATAGCACAATAACACAATGGCGGGATGTATAAGTACCGAGCCACACCAAGAGGATATTACCAAAAAAAGACTAAACAGTAAAGTTAATAATTTACAAAGACAAATAATAGAACACCACAACATGTTATTAAGATGATAAACAACGTCAGTACCTAGAATCTATACTTCAAGACCATCGTGTATTATTTGTGAAGTTGATACGGAATATTTATCAACAAGGTCTTGGTATCTTCCGATGAACTTTGTTAGAAAAAGGACGGGACGTTCTTTGACATAACCTGGTTCATCAACTTTCTCCTCAGACACTGGTGACGTTTAATGAAGTCTGAGTAGCAACTGCAATCTCTTGAATACCGAATGAGTTGGGAAATGAATATCCCATATGCAGGTGAAGTTGGTATATTGCTACTAAGGTGGGGGAAATTGATAATTTCAAAATTAAAAGAGGGACGAAAGATACCATAGAGACAGTCAAACTCATAGATCGAAAACAAACTGACAACGTCATGGCCAAAAATAAAAAGACAAACAGACAAATAATAGTACAGATGACACAACATAGAAAACCAAAGACTAGTAAAAGTTAATTCAGTTTGAGTAGAGACGTCATTAATTAAATGCAAAATCTTTCAATAAAATGTAAAATTTTCAATTATGTATATTTAAAATTATATCAATACATGGCATTTTGATTAAAGGGGCATTAGCTGTCAATTTTACGTTCACCGATTTGACTCAAATTCTCATATTTGATCTATAACTACTACAACTTATATCCAAATTGCAAAAAGTCTAAAATAAACATTTAAAAGAAAGGCGAAAGATACCATAGGGACAGTCAAACTCATAGATCGAAAACAAACTGACAACGTCATGGCCTAAAATAAAAAGACAAACAGACAAATAATAGTACAGATGACACAACATAGAAAACCAAAGACTAAGCAACACGAACCCCACCAAAAACTGGGGGTGATCTCAGGTGCTCCGGAAGGGTAAGCAGATCCTGCTCCACATGTGGCACCCGTCGTGTTGCTTATGTTATTACAAATCCGGTAAGTAGTCTAATTCGGTAAGTCACATTCGTGAAAAGGGAGGGTATTGTAGTTACGACATAAAGAAAATAACTTGGATGGAGAGTTGTCTCATTGGCACTCATACCACATCTTCCTATATCTATATCCGATATCATCTGTGAAACGGTTATTCCATAACGGTCATCCAACTCGTGATGGCGTCCGTAAAATTTACGAAGGGATGACTTCAACTTCACCATTTGGAACTCTTGGTTTAATAGCTTCCTTGTGAGCAGCAATCCTCTATCAAGGAAATCATGATAGGAAACACAAGCCCAGGAATATCGTATCAATTGGGAGATATATACTCCGTATGCAGGCGCTGCTGGAATGTTGCTACATAGAAACTGAAAGTTCACAATTGGGAAGCTGAAATCATCTCTTTTGTCGTA